GTGTGTCTGCCACCAGCGGAATGCAATTTGTAACTTCGACAGAGAGATAATTGTTCATTGTAAATTCTCTATTCCGAATCGATGCGATTATTTATTAAGTTTGACAGTATCTTTCGTTATTTATATCTAATTGTAATTAATTTTAAATTATGCAAATTTCTCCGAAAATTATAAGAAATGTCTTGAGACATTTAAAATAGTTCGGAAGAGGAAATTAAGAGGCAGGGTAATTAGTAAAGAAAATTTTGTAAACGGAATAAGAGTTTAAAATTCAAGTTGGTGACAATAAGAGAGAAAATAGAGAAATTTTTCGATTTGCGAGTTAATTTTGTTATTAAATTAGAATTTTACGCGGCTAAACACGCTTTGTCTTGGCTGCAGGATACAAATATCGGATTAATTAAATTTTTTTTTTAATAAAAATTCGGAAGAATGCTTTATTTTCTTAGGTTTTAAAGATTCTTCTTCATTATGAATTTATATCTTCGTATATATCGAGCATAGTTTAAAGAATTGGACTTAAAAACATCGCAGACTTTCCGAATTTAAAATTTTCAATTAAATAATCAATCACTGAAATTCCTTTGATAATTATAACAACTTTTTTTTAATCAACACATGGTCGTGAACTCGAATTATTTCAACGGCCATACGTTTTGGAAGGAAGATGGCGTATTGATTCCTGTATCATAAATTAAAACAACAATGAGTTGCGGAATTAGATGCTATCTATCGCAATTATTACGACATAAAAACTCGCAGCCAGAACGAGGAGGTCTTCAGAGTACAATAGTTCCCGTACAGTGTCATGTGACTCGCCCATTGTGTGATTGATACGGCTGCCAGTCACGTCCTCGATCCCCTCTCGACAATAGCGTCATCCATCAATATCATCTGCAGCAATTCGTTATCGCCATCTATGGGGAAATAATACTACTAAACAGAGTCATTCGACGACGAATTCAGTTTTAAATTCTCACCTTTATTATATTTAAATACGTATTCCGAACGAAACGATATTATTTTAATCGAAAGATATTTCTGTAAAATCAGTTCTAGAATTTGCTAGAATTAAAAGATTCATTCTTCTTACATCCGAAGTAGAATATTCCATTCTATTCACCTCGGAGGGTTGGCGGGTGTTCCGAGTTCCTCCCAACTTTTCTCGCTGTATAATTTTATCATTTTTAAATATAATTAATGGCAGATAAACGAGTCGACGTTTTTCTCACTCGCGTAACATTCATCTTTGGTTTGAGCCAAAAAAATTTATTTGTATAAATTAATTTTTAAGTTTCACTAGAATTCACACGAAGAATAGAAGTCGGCTTTGAAGAGTACAGTACAGTACAGTACATCTTCAACTAGACGAGACTTTACAATAAATTCGTCTGGACCACCTGCATCGAATCCATTCATTCATTATCCGGATTGTGCAATTTTGAGTTCTTTTTTCCTTAGATTACGCTATTTTTCGTGCTAAATAGTAGTGAGAACAAATTTCTATGGAAAGAAATTTAGTTTACGGAATTCTATAAAAGTGTTTCGTTGGACATTAAATGAGTAAATTTTGGATTAATTACATTATTTGCTGGCATATAAAATCCACTTTTTACCCGAAAAATACAGTCTGTAAATGGGGTGAGTCTTATACGCCGACAAATACGATACGTAAATTATTAAACTATTCAGAAACATTTTAATGATTAAATTGTAAAATAAAATTTTTATTTTCATTTATTTAATTTTAACTTATTTCTGCCGCCTTTTTTTATTTTTACCGTCGTTTTTATCTAGGCTTGTTTATTGCAAGCATTTTTTAAACATTTGTTTTTTTTAAATAAATTTGTTTTTTTTAATAACGAAGTTCTTTACGTTATGAAATAATGCAAACGTGTTCGAATTTAGTAAAATAGCCGAATGGCTGATATGTAACCAAATTTAAAACGATGAGAAGCTACTCTCCGTGGTAGAGTTAAGGGAATACATTAAGAGGACGGTGGAGAGCGTGCATCGATAGTATAGTTAGTGAACATATCATAAGCATACATTCAACTGGTTTTCTACCATTTGTAATACCATTTGTAATTCAATCGTCGCAGCTGTTTCTTTGATATTAATCTGCAGCTCACTGCTACAACGAAATAGTTAAGTATCGTAAGCATTACGGTCTCATAAGGAAATTTGCTTTGAGAATCTTTTCTAACCACCTAATTATATATTATATAACGTCTCTAATTATATATTAAAATATGTTTTCTATACAAATTACTACTTTATATTTCCTATTCTTGGTGATTCGCAAGATTGAAGTAAATATCACTTATAAAGTATGCTTTTAGAAACATCTTTCATAATGAAAGATATCAAAATTATTTAAGGTTTACGATGAAGATAATTGTCTAATTTAAAAAAGTATCAGCTGCAGTGAGAGAGAGAGAATTTTTTAAATAATGAAAGTAATGTATTTTAATTATTATCATCAAAAATTTAAATAGTTACTACAGATCACAACCTTTTCCTCGGAAGACTCACGTGAACTTTAAAAGACTAGTCTGGAGAAAATGATAGAAAGAAAAAAAAAACATCAACATTTTATTATTATTTTTTGGATAACAACGAACATACACAACGTAGAATTTGCAACGGATTTTTCAAAAGCCAGCCCTCAAAATCGAGGATAAATTTTGTATATCCAATATTGCGATCTCCTTTAGATAGGCATAGGCTATATAAAACCAAATTATTGAACATCAAATATTTTATTTTCGAAAAAGTCTGTTCGAAAAGGTATCTAGAAGCAAAACTAGAATATATTCCCGGTAGAAACTTTTTAAAAATTTTAAAATTCGATACTGACAGTTTAAATGTTGACGATAAAACATTTGAATGAAAAGAAATTACGCGCCGCGGATAAATACGAGTATACTTCGAAGGGCCTTAGTAGGAGATCCATGGTCTACTGCAGTGTTTCTCAACCTCTAACGAATCGTTGCCCCCTTCAAAGTAGTATCGCCCTTCAATAAAACCGTTTCGTAGTATCGCCCCCTTCACTCCAAAATTCCGATGCCGAGAGCCAAGACTAACGTCAAATTCGTTCTGCATTGAATAGATTAGTAACTAGTTTAATGTTATTTGTTTAATTATTGTACGATATAACGAATAAAATATCTAATTATTCTTAATATAATGTTTTAATATATCTCCCAGAAAATTGTTTCTTGCCCTCCCAAAATATAAATTGTTACTAATCGCCCCCTCAACATGGAAAAACGCCCACATGGGGGCGATATCGCCCCCCGTTGAGAAACACTGGTCTACTGCGTTACATGTTACGAATGAATAGTAAATATTCGTTGATATTTTCAACAAGTAGTAGAACTATAACAAAATTTATCAGTATAAGTAGCATATTTTTCTTTAAGCAGGAGGATTATAGTTAAAATTTAAAAAAATATTTTTTGATAGCTTAATTTAACTCTTGTAATCTTCTAACTTAATCTCTTACTTAATGAAAAAAAAAACAAATATTATCTTTAGGAAGTAATCTAATTACGTCAGTGAACGGATCTGACGTGATAAAACCAAAAAGATTTTAAAATATATTCTATGATTCTCAAAGCTTCCATCTGCTGTTCTTTATCCGTGATATAAGAGAGAACAGGCAAGACGTCTTTGTTACTTTGTTCACGAGCACAAGTATCACCCCTGTTTGTCAAATATCCCGCAGTTCTGCCAAGACTTTTGAGAGTTATTTGAGAGAGAGAGAGAGAGAGAGGTATCTAGAGTTGAAATATCTAGACACCTTATGATTACAATGTAGAAATATACATTCAAAAGTAGTAACAAATCTCTTAATATAACAGTAACTCAATTAACATATATTTTTCGTTATTTAAACGCTTTTATTTAACTAACTTTATTTTACGTCCTCAAATCTTGCAACTCAAATTTCATTCACTTTTAATTAAGTTAGAAGGCCGAAACTTTGAGGACGTGAAGTCCAATGACAATTCACTTTAATGCCGTCTTAAAGGGTGGCCCACCCTCACCATTCTCCTCGTTCAGAAGCCCGATAAACAAACGTATAAATTAAATAATGATGTGCTTATGTAAATGCACTACAGTGATGTATAGGGTGGGATTGAGAACATCTCCATCCCAGTCTCGAAAAATATGACCAGCAAAAGCGTTAAAAATAAGTTTTTAAATATATTAAAAATTATTTCTTTTATAGAATGAACAATTTAATTTTATATTTAATCGTCTTATGCGTATAAACTAAATTAAGCTAAATTAACTCACTTATATCTAATTAAAACATAAAAAAATTGCAATTACACACGTTCAAATTAAAATGAATAAAATATGAATATTTTAAACAAATATTTTTGAAAAATTTTCGTAATTTCTAAATAAATATTTTACAATTTGGTTTGGAGAATTTCATTATCTAACTGAATTAATAATTAATGCCTTTAATTTATTATTAAAACCATGTTATTTTACAAGAATTAGATAATACGAAATGTATTAAATTAATTAAGCCGAAAATAGTTTTAATATTTTAAAATTTCCTAAAGGCTAAATTATTTGTTAAAGTTTAATTATGATATCTGGAGAAAAAAATGATTAAAAATATGCTTGGAAATATAAAGAAAAATGCTAATTATTAAAACAAACAATTCAAGAAATTCGATAAATATTCAGAATGTTATTTCTTAATTTCAGAATTTGAAACTATTTTCAATCAAACATCTTTTAATATTAAATGAAACAGGAATTTTGTTTTATAAAAATCATTTCGGCGAATCTGATTGATGCGTGGGAAGATAAATTATGAAAATTTCCTCTTATTTTGTGTTTTGACTCTTTGCATTTGACAAGCAAATGTCACGGTAATTTAATAATTATTATATTCTCTTTAAACCTGTATTTAGCCACTAAATAAATGAATTAAAATTTGTTGTGTAAATACAATTTTTATGCTAAAAACTTACCTTGACATCATCGAATTAATGACTTTCTACATTACTTATTTAATTTGGTACTCGTTTAAACTGGTTCTATAATGCTGAATTGAGAAAAAAATTCGCTCTTTTTCTCTAATTTATCATTTTTCTTCTTAATAAGAAGCCTAATTTAAATTAGTTTTGAAAAAATATAAAATTCATCTTTCTTAGAGATCAACGACAAGGCATACTGAATCAAGAGAAATTTACATATTAATTACATAAAATTTTATTCTTTATTAAATTAATATTGTATAATTTTTACATTGCTAAATGAATTTAGATATATTAAATTAAAATATAGATAATTTTTAAAGTAAAATTACTATATATGATTTATATTCCGTACAATAATCGAATTTATGAAATATCGTTGGCGAAATCTGATGCGAATGAATAAAATTATATGAAATATTTTTGAAATAAGTTAAAAATATATTTACTTAAAACGACGTAAATAACTTATAAATAAAAAAAACATTGATTATTATTTTCATTTTTATTTAAGTAAGAACTAAGAAGAATTCTTTGATGTAAAGGAACATCAAATCTTTTTTTTATTCGAATTCCTACGGAATATTTTTCGGTTAAATTTTAAAATGTGATAAATTTTTGTTTTGTGACATGCTATAATACGACATAAAAGAAAAATGCTTACTAATTTAGTCTTTAGCAAAACGATTTACTGTTATTACGATGACCAAGTCTAAAAATGTATACGCGATTACGTAAAATTTTCTTGAAATTAACGTAATTTTTTATCAACACTTGCAATATCCGTGAAAGATTTTTGTAAAAATAAATATGAAAAAAATGAAAGATGTAAAATGTTTCTTTATTAATAACAAATAAAGATTTTATTATTATTTTTTTTTTGTTAATTAAAAAACAACATTAATTTATAGTGGGAGAACCATTTAAGCCCTTAACTTTTCTTTGAGTTCAGGGAAAATTCTCCTTCTTCCCATCTTGGCTATGGCTCTGCCTGTATATAAGATATAAGCCTATAGTAACATTACATTTTTAAAATACTTTTCCGTCATCCTGAAAAGAAATAAATAAAAATATTTCATATTGGTATAATCATTTTATAAGAGAGTTTTAGATTAAAAGTCATTCGATTACTTAAGTATTTTAATTATTTTTTAATTTATCAAAATATTGGCCAATTTCTTCATTTACAATGAGAAAATCTTAATAAAATCATTTATAATTTTTACAAGTAAAATCTTGTCATTTCTTCTATATCAGGACATCGTTTACTTAAAAGCAAACGATGTCATTTACGAGTCTAAGAAATGGTTCTCATCAAAATTCATGTAATTCTGTAATTTATTATTCAGTTACGGATTTTGTTTTTAATTCTTCTAATTCCAAAGATGATAAAGTTTACATCGCATAAGATATTGATTGATGTAGTAAGGAAGTGATGTAGGCCTACATATTAATATATATAAAATATCAGTGACAACGGTACGAGATGCTATGTATGTGTTTAATAGAGATAAATATCCAATAAAGCTTTATTACCCAGTTAAAACGAAGATATTAACCGAATGTTTAAATGCTTGTAAATTTATAAAAATGTTTCTAGTTTTATAGATCGTAGCATTTAACATTTAGTAACGTCGATATTTTTAAAAATATTTTTTATTCTGAATTTTTTTTTCTCGTGGATTCTTTCGAATTTCTTACCATCAATATTTTAAAAAACATACTTTTTAAATTTGAATAAGTATTTACAAAATATAAAATTTTAAATAAAAATTCAGTTATATTTTATGGAAAGATTATACCTGAAGCAATAATTTTTTTAACATGTGATAAGTTTTTTTTAAATATTGTTTATTTATTTTAGAGTAAATCAAGAGTAAAAATGACATTTTATTTCGTGAATATGTCGACGCTTTAAATTTAAATGGCTTTAAACTAAATCTCTAAATAAAAACACAGATTAAATATATTTTAATTTTCTTTTGTTTCTATCTTTTGCTTATAGTTATGTAAGATACAGTTCTATGATCATACTCCGAATTTCAAGAAAACTAAAAGCTCATTGATCTTTAATGACGTTTGTTTGGTGAATTCAAAATTATATAATATAAATTACAATAAAAGTTTCGATATTTTAATAAAGGTGAAATAAAAATAATCGAATTAATTAGGTTTAACGTCTTCATTACTATAATTTTATCTATTAACATAACTGAAATATTCGACTTTTTATCTCTTTCAAATCGTATAAAGTACATTGAAATAAATAATTACCATTTCTACTTCTGATGAATGAAAATAACGAAATCCCCTATGCAAACTATAGGTTGCTTTTCTGTTGTCTTCACCGGGCTCTCGTTTCTCCTGTATTTATTGATATAAAAACAGGTTTATCAAATTTAGACGGTGAAAACATCTAAATTTGATAAACGAGCTTATTTAATTGAAAAAGAATAAAGTGATTAAGATGCGACATTAACATTGACAGATGAATCATCAAAATAATTATAATATAAAAACTGGCTAGAGATAAAAAAAAGTCTTACATATTCTTTATTCAGAATGCATTCGAATGCACAGCAGTAGGAATAGTTTCATTCTTTTAAGATTTTAATTAAAGAAATAAACTTCTTTGAATAAACCATTTAATTTAAAGTCGCAGAGATAACTTTAAATTTAATGGTCTAACTCTTTCTTCACACCAATTAATCAGCCTCGAGTACATCAAATAAGCAAAATAATGATGTATTTATTGTTCTTTCTTACCTAAAAATCTTTTAGCTGTACTTTTTGTTTACTTGTTTAAACAAAGAAGAGACTAGAGTTTTATTAAAATCAAAGAACAATTTTTATTAAAGTATAAAATAATCCGTCACAAAGTGACATTCTAATTTCGTTTCTTAGCAACTACAAAGATACTTAATGTAAAACATCGATATTCTATTTTCTTAATCGAATGACTCCAGGACATTCATTTTTCTAATATTTTTCATTATTTTTGTTTCTGTTATTTATTAAAATGTTATTTAAAAATAAAAAATAATTATAATTGAAAATAATATTATATCAAAATATGTTTGTAGTTATAAATTTCCTTATCATAAGTAAGAAATGATAATTGATTACACACACGAAAAATTAAGATACAGTATAAAGGGAGGGAG